AGTTCCAGAGGATCCCATTCTTTAGTCACGGCCAGGAGTGCCGTTCCCAGTTCCAAGGGATCCAGTTCCCCAATTTCGGCCAGGAGTGCCTTTCCCAGTTCCAGTGGATCCAGTTCCCCAGTTTCGGCCAGGAGTGCCGTTCCCAGTTCCCCAGTTTCAGCCAGGAGTGCCGTTCCCAGTTTCAGAGGATCCCGTTCCTTAGTCACGGCCAGGAGTGCCGTTCCCAGTTCCAGGGGATCCAGTTCCCTAGTTTCGGCCAGGAGTGCTGTTCCCAGTTCCAGTGGATCCAGTTCCCCAGTTTCGGCCAGGAGTGCCGTTCCCAGTTCCAGGGGATCCAGTTCCCTAGTTTCGGCCAGGAGTGCTGTTCCCAGTTCCAGTGGATCCAGTTCCTTAGTCGCGGCCAGGAGTGCCATTCCCAGTTCCAGGGGATCCATTTCCCTAGTTCCGGCCAGAAATGCCATTCCCGAGTATAGCCCATGGAGGGTTCCTGTTCCTGAGTTAAGCCCAGGGAGGGCTCCAAATCCAGGGAGGGCTCCAGATCCTCAGTTAAGCCCAGGGAGGGCTCCAAATCCTCAGTTAAGCCCAGGGAGGGCTCCAGATCCCTAGTTAAGCCTAGGGAGGGCTCCAGTCCCCGGTTATGGCCCACGGAGGGCCTCGGAGCCCGAAATCATCCCCAAGTATTTTTTGGGGTGGGACAGTAGGGCTCCAGCCGTAGAGGCCGGGGCGGGGGCTGGGGCCGCGGCCTCGGAGGCTGCTTTGCCATGGCCTCCTGAGTCCCCTGATCTGCCATGGCGCCCCGAACTGCCAGATCCGCCATGGATCCCGGAATGGGCGCCGCCCTGGAGGCCTTCCGTCTGGTAACCCTACTCCTAGAGGCCTCCAGAGCACCCTCCCCATTGGATGTTGTACGGCACAGGGAGTTATGTCAGAGACTCTGTTCCATGTTTTGTGTGTGTTTTGCTCCTCATGTGCCTTCCTTGCCCTTATTTGGTCCTTCCTGTTCCTGTCCTCATTGTGTGTATTCGTCTCCAGCTGTGTTTTGATTAATTAGTTCATTTGCTCCCAGGTGTGTTCCATTGGTGTCTGTGTATTCAAAGTGCTCTCAGTTCCTAGTTCTCTGTCTGCTGTTAAGTGTCATTTTGTTTTACCTGATGTCTCCTGTCCTGTGATCCCCAGCGTGCCTTCATTAAAACCTTTTTGATTTACTTTATTCCTTGTCTCCTCGCTCGTTCCTGTGCTCCCAGTGTGTGTGACACTTAGTGATTTTCAGTTCCAGTTTTCTGACTTTGCCATCTGAGTCAGAGATAGCTTTGGTGACCAGAGCCATTGACCATTCATTCTTTTTCACCTGATCATCTTTCAAAATGACCAGGTCTCCTTCTTTGATATTGGGTTTGTTGTCTTGCCATTTCTTACGAGGCTGGAGGGATGCAAGGTATTCTCGTCTCCACCTTTCCCAAAATATGCTGGCAAGATACTGCGCTCTTTTCCACTGTTTTCAATATAGGTCAGTGCCCTCAAAGGGTCCTGGGATACACACCTTTTGGCAGAGGATCATTGATCATCCAGCTCAGTTCAGTTTAAATAGTATCTGTGCAATCAAGTCGACGATATCACTGGAAATTAAGTGTCCTCAACTAAGCAAGCCAGCGGTGACAGCGGCAAGGAACCAAAACTCCATCGGTGACAGAATGGAGAAAAAAACCTTGGGAGAAACCAGGCTCAGTTGGGGGGCCAGTTCTCCAGCCAGACGAATCAGCAGGTTGATCCATGCTGTAGCAAAGTTAGATTGTGCAGAGGGCTCATCTGGTTCCATGATCTGACCCAGATCACCCACTCCATCTGTATTTTATCCCTCTCCCATCTGGCCGTAGGTATAGACTACCTATGTGTAGGAGGACTAACTTTAGTAAGAGTTTTGTTACTACAGCAATACGTGCTTTAAACACATAGGAAATTAGCCATCGTCTTACACTCTTGTAATTTTTTCTTTTCTTCGTGAATGTATTGTGACAAGTTTGTACATAATGGGTACTTGTCCTTGTGTTGTATACACACCTTCTGTGAAAATGAATTTCCTCTCTGACGACAAATAAAATTATCTATCTATCTATCTATCTATCTATCTTGTCCCGATGGCCGTCTAGGAGACAAGGTCTTCACTGGGTATCTGTCTCTGGGGCTCATCTAGTTGTCCTGGTCTCCGATGAAATTCAGGGCTGTAGAGGTCGTCTCTAGGTGCTGATCCACCATCTGGACTGGATACAGACTGGATCCGGGTGACTGCAGTGACCATCTGGGCTGGATACGGACTGGATCTGGTGGCTACAGTGACCTCGGAATAAGAAAAAAACAGACTAATATTAGCGTAGATGCCATTCTTCTTACGATGTAAGAAGCGGAGTGAGGAGAAGGAAATGGATACTAGAGGTCTTGCATTGATAACGGCACACACTTTAGCCATTAGAGTTGACAGCATTTCGTGATTCAGATGCGAGGAGCTGATCTGAGGAAGCATGGAGTCCAAAATTCATCTTGAAAGTCCAGTCATACTCGCCCATGCTCCTCCTATGTGAGACGATATATTAAAGATTATCATCTCATCTATCTATGAGATGAGCAATAGGTTTGAGTTGTGGTTGGTGTTTTGCTGTGTCAGGAGTGGGTATCTCTGACCTGTCCTCGGGCATTTAGTGGCACTCAATGAGCGTGGGGAGTGGGACTGAAAGACTGCCATCTAGAGGGTGTGCAATGAAGTCCATAGCTCGCCTCTGAGACATTTCTGCGACTCCGACGCACATGCACAGAGTGTAAGGAAATTCTGTGTAATTCTAAATAAACTATTAGTATCTCCACAGACCTCTGTGCATTTAGAGATATTTGAAAAGGACCATAAAGTATTAGTATCTCCACAGACTTCTGTGCATTTAGAGATAATGGAAGGGTTTGCACTTTCTTTCTCACCGCCATGCTCTGTGTTGGGTGTTTTTAGTGTCCATGGAGGTGGTCCAGGATGAAGGGCTGTGACACGTTTGTTGCTGCCACACTCTGTGCACTGTATGCTAACATCACAGTCTTTGGCCACATGTTCATTGGAAGAACAACATCTAAATCAGATAATATGCTCCTTCAAAACTTTTTCCGTTCCTCAATACTCTTAGCTCTGAAGGCTCTGCAACATTTGAAGGGATGTTATTTATTTATTTTTTTTGTGAATGAGGCATTGTCTATTGATATCAGGCTTACTGTTTGGTGAATCGGTAATTGGTAGAGCTTTTTTGTGAGTAGAGATTATTACGTTTTTCAGTGGTCCACCTCTTTTCACTGAGATTTCAGGCTTTACAGGAGCAGTTGTAGGTAAGTGGAATGTGAAACTTGGGTCATTACGCATGTAGACTTCCCTACATGCATTTTTGTGAAAAATGTGAATGGAGGAAATGTACCTGGAACTGAAGCTTGTATTGGGACCCTTGGGACATCCGCTTCTCTTGGAGGTTAGGAGGAAGTTTGTTGACAATAGGTGCCACACCCTGCGCTGTGTCCTGGAAAGAGAGCCCAGGTAAGTAGCCTCCAAGCTTTGCTGACACCACCTCGTTGAGCATGGCTAGTGGCAGCCGTGGTGGACAGTGCAGGTAGGATCATGAACTGTTCATGATCATGAGAGTCAGGCTCTGCTTTAATGGGAGGGAGACGGTGAAAACTTGATTCAGAAAAACTGTCCACATAGTCCTTTGTACGCTTTTTAGTAATGTCACGTGGAAACGCTGTGACGTCGATCGCCATATACATTTCTCCTGACTTGATCTCTGCTCTAGCCACTTTCAGAATCTCAGCCTCTGCTGCTGCAACCTCCTTTATATGCTGTATCGATAACAGTTCAGATTCCAGTTTAGCCTTTTTTAGCAGTTGACTGAGTGAGATAGTTGATGTGGTCAGTTGTTGCCCCTCAGCTTTCTCTTTAACATCCGTCTTGAGCCAGTTGCGATGGGTGGAATAACTGAATAGCTATTCTTCTTTGAAGTGCTGTTTTGCCTGTTGTGATGATACTTTTTCACTATTCTGTCATCTGCATGCGTGATCGTTAAATATATCCTTAAATATAAATAAACAAAATACAATAACTCGTTATTCAATGTTTACTGTACATCAAACATCGTTAAATTACAGTAGTTGGTATGGGATCAAATGGCGATCTTTTGAATGTCCGTATAATGCAAGTGGAACCGCTAACGTGCTTTCAGTATATAAATCTTAAGAAGATATAGACACAAAGTATGTAAAATAACAATTGTAAATGATAAACTTACAAGCAAAGCTTCTCTGTGGCTTTACACAAACGAATGGAAACAGACACAAGGAGCACGCGATCTCCCTGCTACATAGAACTGGAAATGGCTGCTGTGCTAGTGCTCTTTGCGTAATTGATGCTATGAAGCTTAACAATTTCGAAGGGGTAGTTTAACTAAACCTATAGAAAATAGTTCCATCTAGGGGGGAGGAAGGAGTAACGTAAGGAATGACATAATAATACTTGTCCATCCATACATCCATACTTTTGGATCTTGACTGCTCTTGGTCCTCATATACTATCCAAAAAAAAAAAAGCGTGCATATTCTAAAACAAAGTCACATTTTTAACATCTTGAGCGATGTTGGTAGAAAAACAACTTAAATGTGTAAATGTAATATTCATAATAATTCATAATAATTCATAAGCTACACACACTCTAACCACTCAAATATGAAGCACTTTATTGTATGGTTTATTCAGGATATTTCTATTGCTGTGCTGTAAAACCAACTATTTCTTGCCACTCATCCAAACAGTTTCCAATCTACGACGTTCCCTGAATTGACGCTTTATTGAATTTCAGCATTTTAGAACAAGGATTTTCCCTTTGGCAAACAGCTGAGCATCAATTTTTGAACCTGGCTCTTTAATATAAAGATCCTACCGAGGTTTTTTCCACCTCCCTGCCTCCAAAATCTGGTCTACAAAAACAAATAAAGGTGCTTGTTTTGGGGCTTACCAGGGTGGCTCTTAAATCAAGTAAAGCCCTGTTGAAATGCAGACGCTGCAGTACTTACACTCTGCCATCTGGAAGTGTTTTACACCTTTCAGATTGTAGTGGAATGTGTGGGGGTTGCTTTATTTTCTTGTACTTTGTTTTGAGTGCTCTGAAACTTAATTACGATTCTCTTCATTGATATCCTACTATCGCAACTCTCAGACCACATCCGTGAAACATTCAGAGATTGATTTGTAATTAAAAAAGCAATCTTTGCTGTGAATAGAAGCAGTTGAGAAATAACAGGTCCTCCGAGAGCTCCTCCAGATGTGTTGATTCACTTGGAAGTTTCCCCGTGTATTTATCCACATGGCTGGCTGGACTGCTTGGTTTACTTGCGTTTAAAAATAATATGCTGAAAAGGGCACGCCATAAGTGACCCTAAGATTGGCTCACATTTTATCGCCCCATCAAACTTCAACTCAGTCTGCTGCAAAAATTGTTTCCACCTTAGATTTATCTTACATGGACTTTTAGTGTAAGGGTTATTTAAACTAATTGTGCGAAATGAAATGGTATTTCAAAAACATTTTCATGGTGCTTGCAAAGGCACATATCACTCTAACTATACTTTTTCAAAACACTAACTCAAAGAATTAAAATTCTGCCTGTCACTCATCCTGCACTGTTTATGATATACAAACAAAATCCAAAATCTCAAATCCAGCAGCTTATAATGACACACACACACACACACACGCACACA